TTGTTACACCACTGATACGCGAACACACGGTCACATCGGCGATAATTCCAGTCTTCTGTTCACAACCCACAACACTGCCATCACGATGTCGCTGACACACAGAAATACAGAACCACGTTGACAATGCTGCTGACACGCAGAAATACAGAATCACGTTGAACGCCGGTTGGCACTCGGCACGGGACAACAAAACCGAACTCAGCACGGAAGGCACCCAGGCAGCCGGCAGGAAAACCTGCCTGCCTTAGACGCAGTTCCCGCGATTTCCATAACGTCGAAAACGTCGACACAGTTCCTCGTGGTTTCGCTGCTGTAGTTCCGCGTGTGTTCCGCAAATCGGAGACGGCCGTCTTACCCAGTGTATGTAGCGCTGCTGGCACTACTCCGGAACTTCGCTGTTTCTAGCGGCTTCGTTAGCTCGTTTGATCAAATTTGTGGTAAAAACGTCCATGCAACCGAAATGTTCTGCACGTTTGGACTAGAAGCGGCCTTCGCTGCCGCTGAAGCTCAATCAACTCAACATTAAATTATTAAACAACGTGCGCGATGTGCTCGAAAAACGAAACCGAAAGAAGATGAGTCGGGAGGGCGAAAGCTTTCTCCGGTCTGCCTGGAGAAGGGGAAAACGTTTCGGTGAATAATAAGCACTTTAATTTTCCTTTCATCGGTCTGGGTTTGTGTATGTGTGTTTTGGTAAATAAAAATAAAAAATAAAAACCTTACGAAAAAAGGAAACACTCCGCTTCTTTGGGGATCGAACCTTTGACCACTTGGTCAGTAGCACGATGTTCTACCCCTGCGCCAAATCAGCAGGGATGGAGTCGTACTCCTCCTTTCGTCTAAACTGCCGTTCCACCCTTCTCTGGGCAACTTGTCCGCAACAAGGAGGAACAGTCGCTGTTGCTACCTTTCTCCTCCTTTTTTCCTTAGAGTGTGGTGACATACCCCGAAGCTCCTGATCCCCATCACCTCGACGGGAGGTAAGCACGACAAAGCAGGTGAGCGGCAATGCAAAGACATTGATTTGGTGTCGGTTGGTGTCCAAGGACAATACCTAATAATATGCTGACACCAATTATCTGTCTCAATGCAACGAAGCACACAATTTCAAACTCTGAGGGAGAATGCCGCTGAGTGACTTGAAGAAATAGAATGGCTGGTTGTTCTCAAAACTGGACACCAAGCATCACCCGACTTCACTTTGCCACACGAGACTTACACAAGTTGCAGTGGTCGCGAAGTGCAGAAGATATAGCTATTATAAAGAGGAAGTGAAATGACTTGAATAGCAAACAAACATTGTCGCCAGTCATCAAGTCAACGGTGTAGAAAAAGGCACGGCCACGTAAGCACTACATCCCCGAGCTTGCTGCATTGACGCAGACAACTATGAGGAAAATTTGCTGATTGGAAGCCAGCTCTGCAGCTTCAGTGCATCAAATGTCAGTGACCGCACGTGACGTATGATTACAAGACGGCATCTGTCGGTCAAAGTTGCCACTCGACCAAACTGAACACCGACGTGGCAGGAGCGTCATCCGACAACCAGGACCACAGGTACTACGACTTAACGCCTGACACGAGACTGTCGCAGAAAGAACTCGTTATGGAACGATTTTCTAAGAATCAATATTTATGTAATTAAGTGGAAATAAACATATTTATTACAGTAACCAGATAAACAAATTTCCGCTCGCCTTTATTTCCCTGGGCCATAAGTCCGACACATACATTTCGCGTCGATTCTCAGACATTCCAGCGTTCAAAAAAAAGATAAGAGAATGCGAAAACTTCATCCTTACAGCGCTCAAAGTTCTATCGATCCTCGAACACATCCGGGAATCCGAGCACCGGTACGACGATACGGCTAATGCTGCCTTATAGGTGTTAATATCCAGATGATCCAGAACGAGCTTGCGCAAAAAGGGTATAAAGTCTCATTCCTTCATATTTTCACATTATACATGCGTCCGCGAGCACGAAGAAGCCCGAAGTCGTCGGAAAGCAGCTGCACAGCACGGCTACCGCGCACCAAACAAACGCGCATCCGCCAGCTCTGGGCGCTGCCATCTTACCGGTGACGTCACGGCTCTTGGGAGGTCACGTGACGAGTGGTCACATTTGCGTACAACATGGCGCATCCGGGGGGGTGCCGCTTCCGAACTTCCGGTTTATCACTCTAAGCCCCTCCACCTCGTTCTCGGGACACACCGCTGGCATTTTTTTGTGCTGCAGTTGGGAACGGCGGCCTCGGGGTCAATTGTCTTGTGACAATGATCCTTAGTATTCGGCGTGCCAGGGTGCTGGCTGTGACTGAGAAGGATGATGCAATGTTGAGGAACCTTGTGTCCATGCACACTTGGAGTGAGGAGGTAGAAAGGGCAGAGAAATATGTAAAGTTTAAAAATATATCAATAGAGACAAGGAATCAGGAACGCCACTTTTGGCGAGGCCAGTTGTTGAAAATGGTGGATACTAATGGGTTGGCGGAAGCACGTTCGTGCGTGGTAACGTCCTTTACCCGTGACCCTCCGCTGTTTCTGACTGGGAGGGAGTACGTGGATCCAAGACCCTATGCGCCGAAACTGGAGCGACAACTGTGTTGCGAATTGGGTGGCAGAAAAGGCTAGAGTTGAGGGATGGATTGTCACGGAGGAGCGGTTGTTGGAGATGAAGTAAGATATCCAGATTAAGTTCTTGAAAATATAGTAAAGCTTCGGTTGTTGATATTCAAGTGGTAGGGGAATATAAATCATTAAACTCCTTAAACGAGGATAAGATGCGTAAGTATTCTGGTGAAGCCTTTATTAGGGATGTTACGTTGTCTTTCTCGGTGTTCTCGGTGACGGTCCATGCCGTAACAACAACCGAAAGAGGACTAGTTTGTCCCAGGTCTGCTGATTTTCTGTTATCCCTTCGATTTTCAAAGCTGAATGTGTCATCCCTGACACTGAAGGTCCTACGTGGGACGCTCAGTTGTTTTTATCACTTTATGCGTGGGACTAATCGCAATGGTTGATGTATTTGTGACGGATTTGAAGATTGCAAGAAATATGGACTTTAGATTTTATATAAATTGAAGTGTGCTTTATGGTTTTGATGTTGTGGGGAAATACACAGTGAGGGCATGATGCAGAGCCGTGTATACTTAAGGTTAAGCTTCCTAAAAAAGCGAATGTATTGAACTTGTTCAATAAACAGAATTGCGCATTCGTGGACCCTGTGATTACCTTCGCTTTCAAAGCACACACGACGATTACTGATGATACTTTCCTACTTCCGGGTACATCGGGAACATCACAAGGGCTAGCAACAGAAAAGATAAAACACACGACGATTACTGATGATACTTTCCTACTTCCGGGAACATCGGGAACATCACAAGGGCTGGCAACAGAAAGGATAAAACAAACTCCGAACGAAGCTTCTCGCGTTGCGTCAAACCAAAACACTACAGGCGCTATGTTCAATGTGAGTTGTTGCCAGATTTTCATTTTCTCCGACCAAACAAAAGCAACGAAAGCAAACCGGCTCTGGCTTCCAGCGCACATCGGCGGCATTATCCCCGCCTTTCTGCCCTCCCTTTCTTTTCCACACCCTACCCCCATCGCGGAAGTCGCGACGCTGCGTACAACTCCGCAGCCAAGTCAATCCAAGACCAAACCTAAGGGTGAGGGTCGGGGCGTACTACTCCACTGCTCTGGTTAAAAGAGCGGGAGTTTCAAATGTGGAGAGGTTCTTACTCCAACTAAATTACGTCTTGTGGCGTAAATATTTCTAAAAGTTTTTTTTTTTTGTGGAAAATTTGTTTTGTGACAGGCTTGTCCCAGTTAGGCTGTTTAAAAAAACAAATTTTTTTCTTCGTAGTTACCTTTTAAGGCGGTTTCTGTAGAAACGAGAGATTTTGTCATTTAATTTAAACGCAACAAAACATGTCTTTGAAAATTTAGCAGAATCAATTCAATTATTCGTTTGAAGTGTACAAAAGACGAAAAAAAACTTTTAGCTACACGCAGCTTCAAGTTGAATAAAACTATATCTCTCATAAATAATTTCTTACCTTCTTTTTGGGCCCAAAATGGCGTCCTATGGTATGTGCACTGATAGCAAGATTGGGAATATTAGGCAATTTGGCGCCCACCTAAATTTTTGTGGTTCTTTTAGTTTCCTTAACAATTTTATTTAAGTACTTGTGTTTTATCAAAATTCCGGAATTTAGAGCATATCAGTAAAAGCCAAACTAATATTTTTACAAAAAATATAACTGTGTTACTTTGGAGTTTCTTCTTATTCATAAGAAGTTATTGTGCTAATTGCAGATATAAAAGAATCGCCACGTCTCTTGCATGGAATGTCCAGGGGAAGATCATGCAGTGCTCGTCCTGTGTATTTCTTCTCACCCGTTCTTCGTTGTTTTGCGCGCGCAATTTCATTAAGTGCTAAAATATTTTTATATCATTGAAAATAATCATGGAACATTTGTATTGTGGTTGGCTTACAGCTAAGCAGAATATCCGCCTCATAAGTAGCCATGGCCATAGGGGTTCACTCAACTAAGAAAAAATCCAGTGCTGTTTGTTGGTAAAAACACTTCGTTCTTCCCCCGAAAATAACAGCATCCCGATACGTATTCAACCAAATCATTACCTTATCTACGAAGGCTTTAATCTGAGTGTATTAAAACAGAAAAGAAACATCGAGAACTTGCATTACGTACTTTGGATAGTTACTCATAAGTTTTGCCACTTCTGACGCACTAAGGATTGTCCTCATTCAGCATGGGTGTAATGAACGAATGTTTTTCTGCCACAAGCAACACGAGGCATTGTTATGTCATGTTTGATTCTTGCGAGAAAACTGAATAACAATTATTGTAGACGTCATTGCAGGTGCGTGAATAACTATATGACAAAATTAAAATATCCCCTCCTTAAGCTTGCGAGGGGCTATATAAACACATGCTGGACTTCGTTACGCATCATCAGCGTCAATCGTTCAAGATGAAGGCAACTATTGGAGTCATCTGTGTCTTCTCTGCAGTCCTGCTCATCTCTGCAATTTCTGGTGAGTCTTCCCTCTAAAAGAGAACATTTGGTTCTTCTAACGCTCTCAAGTTGCTTCTACCCTTAAGATTTGCAACCCCATTCCTGAACAATCATAGAGCACTTTAGTTTCTATCAACCACTTTAAGACGTAAAACTACTTGCTTCTCTTTTTAATAGAGATACTGTGTGTGCAGGCACATAGCCAGGATTATGTTTCGAAGGGGGACCCGCCCATGACAAAATGCTGTATGAGGGGGTAGGGGGAGAGGAGGCTCCAGCAAAATGGAAGATTTCGGGGCGGGGGGGGGGGGGGGGGGAGGCCAATGGACCCTCCCTCTTGCTACGTGCCACTGTGTGTGCATATTAGTATACATCCCCACGACCAGTTTAGATGAATTATATCTTCTGCAAAAAGTGCGTTGACACTCACATATCGTGCTGTATAATATAAACTGCTAAAAGTATTCGATTGAGAGGCGCACTGCTATCTGCTCTAGCAGATCCTTCGATGGGATTGATTCAGTACTTCATGCTTAGATTTTATGGTATGCTTATTCTGTTCGATTTGTCTTCGTATCAGAAGAAATATGAATATCTAGTGAACTTTGCACACCTGTTAGGTTAAACCGTGAGGGGGTCGACGTTGAAAGTACAAATGCCCGGCTAACGGACAACAGACAGTGTTTAGTAATGATATAGGATACGATACGATACGGTACGATGCGATACGAACTTTATTTTTCACCACAAATACAAGTGGTGAATGGGAGGCCGAAGAAAAAGCTGCATAAATGCAGCTTGACGAGGCTCCGGGCCCCCCATTCAGCAGCTACGACGGAGTACATACAGTACACTGGTCAAAAAAGAAAAAAATCAAATGAACAAATTGAATATTTGGCTGTTGGACAATTGCAAAATATCTATGTTTTTAACAAAATATTCGTTCAGAATAGACGGTAAAGCATAACTTATTTTTTGTTTTCCATAGTTTGTTCTGCTAAGCAGGCATTCAACTATGCGCAACATCTACAAACAATATTAATGGGAAGAATTAAGAAAATGGAGTGTCACAATTTGGTACCAAAGAAATGCATTTGATATGGCGCAAAAGCACTAATGTGTGACTGGTTTGCCCACAAATTGTTTATCTAGTGTTTGCGATCAGCGCAAACAACAGATCTTGTCTTAATTATTGCCTGGGTATGGCTAAACAATACAGTATCAAGACACCAAATACCCTGGAGTGAACAGTCAACGCTTTTACTTAAATTCAAATATGAAAAGGGCGGTGGGACACCTTTGATTTATGATTTTAATATGAAACATAAGATTTCGTTTAAGGTAATGGCGATTTTTGCTGGTTGATTTCACGTAAGTTGTTTTCCTCTCTGAAAAGTAATGCCTCCCTGTTTTACTTTCCCCAACTACCTTCTCTAAAGGACGCTGCTTTTTCTTGTGTTCAGCTTTGAGATATGAAAGAAGATACCTATTGAAGTTATCAGATCATATTCTTTTATCAGATAAGATGATAAAGTATGATATTGTATGCAGGGGGCTATATAAAGTTTCTTATTGTATGATAGTAAAATAATCATAAAACTGCGATGTTAAAAAAGAAACGTTTTTCAGTGGAAGAATGTCGAGCACCCCGACCTCAAACAATTTGCGACAACGATGCTACTGTGACGGTTCAGCATTACTTCAACAGCGACACTGGTAAATGTGAAGAAGAAAGTGGCTGCAACAGTGGCCCGAACAACTTCCCGACTAAAGAAAAATGCCAAAAAGAATGTCCATACTGTGAGTTTGCTTTGTGTTTTAATATTTATCCTGCCGCTCTGTGTCTCAGCAGCAGAAACTCCCCGGCGAATCGACGCTTTATATACAGTTTTTGAGAAAGTGTATGCCTGAATGGACATATGTTTACCTCCACCTACTGAATATAAATGAAAAGTTCCGCCATCTTCCCTTACATTTTGGACGATCGAAAAGGGCGATTCAAGGAGCCCAAAACACTGGTAATATAAATCGCCCAAGACTCCCGTCCATGCTGTAATAAAATTAAAGTAGTGATAATCTACCAGCTTCAAGGTCATTATTATGTTTTTTTTTCAATCTAATTAGAAAAGCAATGGCGCAGATAATATATAGTTTCAACTGTAAAGTTAACAAGCTGGGATCAGGGACTCAACGTTTCGAGGACTACTCTGCTTCTTTTTTCCTCAGGCGTGAAGATGGCAACGACCGTTGAAGAGCAGTTTTGTCTTTGTCTCCCTCTACGGTGGTCACCAGTTCAAAGAGAAATACACCCGCTTAAAAGACAAAGTCGAAACAGATTCTAACGGAGCAGTTTCGCAATTTTTTTCATAGCTGATGTTCTTTCGCAGTCTCCCACGGTCTGTTGACTTTACCTTTACGCGTCCACCATCCGCGCAGCCAGAACACAGCAAATTTGAGACATTCCGGTCAAACACAGGGTACTATGGAATCATGGTCAGCTAACAGAAGAAATCGGCGCGTAAAAAAACACAACAAAAAAGAACAGCGTTGTGAACAGCTGTGAACGGCGGGCAGAGTCTCTGTCAAGCTAGCAGGGCTGCAGCGACTTTCTACCTTTACAACTCGTGATTTCTGCGCGTTGTCTACGCGCCCGGCATCACAGTCTCCATTGGCGAGCCGCACCGGTATTTGAGTATACTGTAGTAACAGTTCCCCCCTCCATCAGGCATTGCTTATTTCTAAAAAATCGGTGAATAGGGCACATATCTATGATTCAAACCTCACGTCTGTTGATTCCAACTTATCTGTACTTGCAGGACAAAACGCTTCGTAAGTGGGATCTCCCGGCGAATGGTAAGTTAGTTAAATTAACCATTGTCTTACAGAAAAATCAATCTCTTATCTAACGAGAGCGACCATGTTCGCCAAAGTTTTATTTTTATTATCATTTAAAATGTTTTTAAAAAAAAGAAAGGCAGCGAACGTTTATCGCGAGAACTTTTTGGTAGTGTTTACAAAGACTGATGTCGATTTACATTTGCTTTCGGGGGCCTTGTTGTCTATTTATATAAGGAGAAGATATCAGCACATAAAGCCTTTTAGCCACAGTCGAGAACTCGCATCAGGCAAAATAAAATGGTTACGTAGAGCAGTAAAACGTTCTTAAAAATGAAACTCTACTTAGCAAAGATTCAATTAATCAGTATACTAAAACCACGCCCATACGTTCCGAACTGCAGTTGTAGTGGGGATGGTTTTAATACGCTAGCCATACAGGACAGAATAAATTTAGAGACGTTTGTTTTATTGAAACCTCAGCACTAGCTGCGATTAACATTAAAACATGTGCTCAGCTTTTCGCTAGGTAAGCTGAGCACGAAACACCAATTGTATGTTTCAAACATGAACCCAATGACGTTAACTTTGTTGAGTATCTGTTACGTTCTATAGCGCGGCTCATTAGTATCACTTCCAGAGTACAATATATTGTTGGTAATTATGAACGGTGATGTATACCCCTGAAACGTTCTCCTCGTTTAGTAGGAATATATTTCCTTTGAAATTATTTATTTCACACTTTGCCAGAATCTCATTTAGACAGACCTGCGTCTGTGAGCAAGTGCTGTTGGCATTGTCTTTAGTAAGCGTGGTGTAGACAGCATTTTTGAAGATATACACGATAGAACTCCTCGTTTACACCGTGTGCGCAATTTTCTAGTGTGTAGCGCGAGTAAGTTGAGCCCGTCTAATATATAAGTTGTTTGAAGTTTTAATGAATATTTTACTTTCAGGGAGACAGCAAGTGCCCAGCGACACTAGGTCTGGAGACGATGTCTGCTGTTAGGCTGGAATATATAATTGCAACAACGTGCTTGGGATAAATAAAGCATGGACTACAAAAACGCTTACATTATTCGTTTTCATCAAATGTGACCTTAGGTGTGAAAGCACTATGAAATACAGGTATATTGTCAAGGGGTTGTGGCAGTTACAAGACCACACCTAGTGAAACAGTTATTTATATCCGAATTCAAATAATGCGAGGCTAGGTCAAACGGTGCTATGCGTCATGAAACTTTTTTTGTTGTTAATCCCAAGTGAAAATTAGATATTAATTAGAAATAAATAATGTAAAATATTCCTTCTCTATTGAAAACTCTCGATGATGGAACTTTCACAAGCAGTAGGTCGACATTGGACCAAGCTTAACAAATCATTACTAGTAAAAAACGCTGATGCTTGACCAATGCTCGGCAGAACTTGACCAAGCGTGTTCCGAGCTGGGTTCGAGAATGCCGTCCGAATGCCGCTTTCTCCAGGTCTTTCCAACCTGTGTGCGATTCTACAAGGTGTTTTAGCTAATTAATGCCATGACCTAGAAAATGCGGATGGACGTTACACATGTGGAACAAGCCCAGAGTTGTCCACAGTCCAATTGAAGGAGTCAATATTTGTTTTGCAATGTGCCAAACTGTCTACTTCATGCAGAATGACTAGCTACCTTTTTAAAAATTAATTTGCGCTCCAAGCCTCCAAGAAATCTGTTCCAGAGCGTGTTGCAGAATATCTCATCGTGTTGTTTTCATCAAGGCAGCGTTTCTGTGTCTAATTTTTTAAAGCGCAATGCAAGCGAGCGACATTTAAAAAAAAATCCTACATGACTAAGGGCACTGACGTGCAGTTCAATTGTGAGTAGCACGTGAAAATATTTGAAAATTAGGCGGGCTTTCTTTAGTGCAAGAAAAATGAGACAAAAACGGCATAATGGTATTTTTTTGGACATGCTGTGGAATGCTGGGTTCTAACAAAAATTGATTGTTACAAAAACGCAAATTCATCTTGGTTAGTTATTCAGCGGCACGTGGTAATATATCTTGACTTGCTCAAGATGACTGTGAAACAAAGTGCACTGTTCTGACACATATGTGGCGTGTACCTGCTTTTTCTAAGTCTTGGCAAAACTTTGATGAAAAACTTTGTATATTCCATTCGATCATAACATTATAAACGGCAAAAGGTGCAACCCCAGCGAGCCAATCAGTGCACGCCACATTAATATGTACTGTCCCAGTGTTCTTCTTCAATGGAAAGCTGACAAAAGTTTGGCCCCGTCGCATGAACTGGCTCAAAAAGAGGCTGAACCTTTTTGTTCTCAAATCAAATCCACCCAAAGTGATTCAGCGAACAATGGACCACACGATTAACTAAGGATAGAGAGCTATTTAAAAAAGACCTCCACCAGACAGATTTAAACGAAGCTTGCTCGCACATACGAAAGGCGTCTTGCCATAAATACGTGCTCCTTCTTTCTCTGAAGTCAGGTGTGAAAACCGCTGATCACGAAGTAGAATAATGAGGCAAATTATTGATATGTAGTATAAAAAAATATTTGTTTATGAAAATATTTGCAGAGGAAGCTTGCCGATTGTCCCGTGATGCACTGCATGAGTGTGTCCTTTTCATGCGTATTGTACCCCATCGCATCATCCGCAACACTTATGAAAGGGTTTCAAATTTTCCGCTAAAACTGGAAAGACAGAAGAAAAGGTCTACTCCTCTTCACAGGAAATATGAATGACCTGGAACAAGCGTGTCCTTCACTCCAATTATATTCTCTGGCGGTAACGAATTGAACAGCCTGACCATGCAAACTTGTTGTATCAAAGAGCACTACACAGGCCCACCTGGCACATGGTTTTTCTAAGCGTAAGCCAGTCGGGGTTTGTACGCGAAAACGTTCTATAGCTTTGCTCAGGTTTTGAATTGGTCTACCGAACTCACTCACTTCCGCTGGTTAGATATTCAGCACAAAATTTGGATCGTGTCAGCCATCGAGCTTGAGCAGAAACAAGATATGAATAGAAACAGTAACAATACTTTAACAAAAGCATGTCACTGAGTCAAAAAATGTAAAAACAAGGGTGAGTACACGTGCAGAAGATTGGGGTAGCAAGTGACAAAATGAGAGCATTTTGATTGAGGCAAAAAGTGCCGTTTTCGGTCTCACTATAACTTTACAAGAAAGGGCTTATGATTCCTGCACTGTGCTAAGGATAATGGGATAAGGCAATAACACATATGACAAATGAGAAGTTACTACACGCGTTTGGCTAGATGGTATACTCATTCTAAATCCGCTCTTTTTTGCTGGGCCATTCTTGTTTCCTATCTTAAGAACAATGTTGGTGATCGTGAATTTACAATACGCTAGAACCGAGGTTTGTCGAAAAAACACCCAAACGCTTTGCAATGGCATTTTGGCGCCTTGGAAGGTTCAGCCATGATACCACAATGACTGTCCAATCTTGTTTCCTGGAGCACCAATGAGATGGATATATTTAAGTGACTAAATTGCTTTTAAAGTGAGAGTTGACCCTATCAAATTTCTTCGCTTAGAAAAAAAAATAGCACGTGCATGCAATTTTTGCCTGTGCATGTGCCCTTGCAGTCAGATCCTTAGTCCTTGCACCAAGTGCAACTGATTACACTGTGTCATCTTTCAGCTTCTGAACCTGTAATATATATATATTTTTTTAATAAGATATCGGTATTCCAACCTATGGAAGTCTGACACAAATGACATAGTGCTAGAAGCTTTGAAATATGAGCGGAACCACTTTTAAGACCATGAACAGGGAGGATTTGGCAAACCCTATGTGAAAAGTGACAAGAGGAAGTTTCTGGTGCACTGCATTTATTTACGTATTACAGATTACAAGAGGCTTTTACAGATTACATCTCTTTTAAACGTGAACTTGAAATTTCACTCTACGATTCAAAGTCATGTAGCATTCCCGCATGTGTTTTCTTCACTGTACGCATGTGCCTCATACCAACACTGACTTCAGTCGTTCTGAGGCACGGAATAATAATAATAGTAAATATATAAATAAAT